TATACACATATATACACCAAAACACAAACAAGATAATGGATATGTGAGTCAATGAAATAGATTGACTATAAAAAAATTTCCCATCCACCGATCCACATTTCCTTTTCTATTTCCTCTGAATGTTGACTCCTTCCTTCTTTTATTGTCTATTGTGCATCAGATGCCCCCCTCCGAATGTTTGCCACTGTTTAGTGTCATTAACATCATTACACATAATCACACATAATGTAATCTTGGTGGTTTCAGTGGGAGTGATGTTTAGACACGAACGTCAGGCCTCCAATGCCTCAAAACCCACAATTACCATCCATTTGAAAGAAGCCCGGACAACGTGAATTTTGAAGATCTCTCAATGTTCTCTACGTATTATCTAAATCGGGATATTCGAGCGAGATGTGTTTTGTAGTTGTTTAAATGGAACAAACGCTGCCTTCTCTTCAAGGCACGATGGCGTCTTAATAAGATAAAACTCGTTGGCAGAGATCAGAGCATTTGCGAGAATTGTAACGTGAGAAGTTCATGAGATTCACTGCAACTGAGATGGAAAGCAGAAGACGCTGGTAATCAAGCACTAAGTGATTGAGAGATGGAGACTTGGGTGTTGCTGTCAGAATCAATCAACTACAATACACTGGATGTGATTGCAAGGAAATGCATTACAACATGCATCAACACCTTCGTTTGCTCAATTTAAACAAGCTTTAGTAAATGGACAAAACCTTCTTAGCTAAAAATGATGTGGAATACAGAAAAGACAGTTTAAGCTTTGCATGGTGTATCTTCCAGGTATTCGACAGGACCTTTCCACCCACTATTCTCAGATTCCTTCGCTCTGGCTGGCTTAAAAAGGCAAGGGCAGAGAGGTGAAAGCACACAGCATGATTTAAAAAAGTTTAACTCGTTATTAATGAAACTGCTCATTAAATCATACAATAATTAGACGCCCACCTTTCATCACACACATCTCTAGAAGTTATCAATAACACAGCAATTACCACGGTTTTTAAAGTTAACCTTCACCAAACAAGTCAGCGTGTGGCTCTACTTCATCTCTTGCCAATAACCAGCTCATCTGCCTGACTGCAGTCTAATGGCCGTCTGCTGGATTTCAGCTGGATTTAGTTTTACCACAGATTTCTATATGAAAAGCTTGTCTGTGGCTGAAACATGCTGCATTTGGGTTTTCTAAGAAGACAGTGGTGGTATTTGTGGAGCAGAAAGAGTCAGAGTTGAGAAGTGTTTTGATGACAACTTTAAACACATCCATCTAGTTCAACCATTGTAACTGTTCTTCGATTCATCCAACTACCCATCTTCCCATCTTTCTAGATATCTACATATCCATCCATCCATCCATCCATCCGTCCCTCCGTCCATCCATCCATCCATCCATCCATCCATCCATCCATCCATCCATCCATCTATGTATCTATCAATCTTTCTACATGTCTACATCTCAATTCATCCTTCTATGCATCTTCCTATTTATTTTTTTGTCCATCCTTGTCCATCCATCCATCCATCCATCCATCTATCCATCATTCATGTTTGTCTTTCATCATGTCTGCCTCTGAATTTGTTGATTTATCTGTCATTCTATGTCCATCCATCCATCCATCCATCCATCCATCCATCCATCCATCCATCCATC